CTACTGTTTGTTCTTTTTATACTCTTCTTTTGATCAGTTGATTTGTTTCTTTGAACTGTTATTTTATTTATTTTTCAAGAAGATAATGTTTATTTTTGTTGTATTTATATTAATCAAATAAATAATTTTTTGTTCGATTTGATTATTTTCAATATTTGCCGACTCTGTTTTCAGGTCGGTCGGTCGTATTTATTGTTTGGCAAGGAATGGTAAGTAAGCAAGTAAGTTAATTACTGATTAGAACGGGTAAAATTACCCATGTTCGAAATTCGGAAATTTTTGATGTATTTGCCACTGCCAGTTTTCCACTTTTGCCAGAGTTACTAATGCGAATAGCGACTAGTCTATTCGCACGAGTGACGACCGATATTTTTCATAACGGAGTCTTGATTTGATTTGATTTGGACAGTGCAAAAAAGGGCCTCTAGTAGTCAAATCAATCGTACTTTATCGGTATAATAATACTGTTGTGACAGAGTTAATCTTGGTTCAATGTTTCTAGGTTGATTAGTAGGAATTTATTGTTTTCGCTAGACCTGTTCAATGGTGGGAATGAATATATGCCCTTCAACACTCCGTTATGAAAAATATCGTTCGTCACTCGTGCGAATGGACGCCTTTCTTTTTTAAACTCGCCTCCGCCGATGGCTCCTTCTGCTACGAACTACGACTCGTTCCAAAATCATTGCCCTCGTTTGAAAAAGGCCGTCTGCCCGTCTATTCGCACTAGTGACGAAATGTACTATTTGAAGTTTTTGAATAAGGTATTTGCCTAATAAAAGTATTTAAATACCTTTTAAAGTATTTAAATACTTTTTAAAGTATTGAAATACTTTTTAAAGTACTTAAATACTTAAAAAGTATTTAAATACTTAAATAAGTATTTAAATACTTTTTGTATTTAGTATTTATTTTTTCTCAAGTCAAATAGTATTTAGTATTTAAATACTTTAGTCTTTATTAAGTATTTAGTATTTAGTATTTAAATACTTTTTAAAAGTATTTTTCAAAGTTACCTAGATTTTCAGTGGGACTTTAAACAAGGTAAACGAGATAAACCCCTGGATTGTAGAAATATCTCCACGGGAAGTACAAAAAGCATTAACTCATATGAAAAACAGAAAGGCTCCTGGGCCTGGTTACCAAAATATGACACTGTTAAAAACTGCCCCACCCCCGTAAAACTAATCTTTTAAAGATTTTTACCAACCCAAGTAACATTTTTCCGTCTTCTAACGTTATCTGCACCTATTCCAACGTCAGAATAGGTTCATATATAAGTCGTATCACGACTTCACAGCTTGAGTCGCAGTACAACGTCAACACAACGATATGCTTCGATCACGCAAGCCGCCTTCGAAAATTAAAGAAGCTTACAAGTAATTTTCCAACGTTGGCGTGACGTCCTTTCTTGACTAAAATATTGAGAGTTATCTTTGGACGACGCTACAACGTCGCCTTATGACCTATTATGGCTAGGTAAAGCTTTGGTATAGTAGGCAACGTTGGTCGAACGTTATCATTCGACTAAATTTAAATAGGCGGCACTAAGTTTCCTAAGTTTAATTTTCGCAAATTTTAGTTTCGAATTACTTGTGAATTAGGTACTCATACGTGATCGGAAATGATGGAAAGAAAGCGAAAACCATTCAATATTTGACATAATTAAAGCCTGAGTTCCATATCAACGCCTCTGTAAATTAAATTAAGCTTCACCCGTCGTCCGTAAAAGGTAGGTTCGATGTCGCGATTATTTCCATGAACAGATTCGTATAAAAGAATCTACATATTGCGACTAAAAGTCGCCGCAGGTGAAAACTAGGGATTATTTATCTGACCAAAGATAAGGCATAGACAGTTTTCGTGCAATTTTCGTCGCTTTCGACATCAGCTGTTTCGGGCGTTTCGGCCATTATTGGGTTCGACCGACGTTGGCCGCCAAGTTGCGTCGGATTCCGACGTTGAATCGACCAAAATTTCATTCCCCATTTTAGTCGAATTTTGGTCGTCAGGAAGTCCTACGGACGTTGTATGCCGACGTAAGGTAGAACATTTTTAACGTAATATCACGTCAAATGAGGTCGGATTATTACTTGGGAAATTTCTTCAAGGAGAACAACCGCCACTGTGACTGAATCGATCTTCAAGAAAAGGAACACATTGAATGTAAAAATTATAGAGGAATCACCATCAGAAGTTCAGTAGCCAGATTAGATGGACCTACTCAGAATAGAAATCAAGTTCCAAGAATCAGAACAAAATGGTTTCAGAGCAGAACGTTCTTGTATAGATTCATGCAGGGGTGCCGACTACGTGGGTGCTCGGGGGCTCGAGCACCCGCGAGACGTAAACAGTGGGTGCTCCGCACCTACGAGCATAAGAGATAAAAACTGATAATCGTAATAATGGTTTCATTTATTTGTTAGTTAAATTTAGTCTCAAAATTGAAGATGAAAGTCAAAATGACATATCTTTAATACAAAAATATACTTTATTCAAGGAGACACTAAGGCTGTGTTCCGAATATACCCAGAGTTGTGGTTTCGCAGTCATAAAAGTAATCAAATTACCTATTCTGGTTCCTGGAAAAGTGGTTACTTTTGAACCTCGGTTTCCTGAAATCTGGTTAACCAAATGTCAGAATAGTTACCGGCCATCGCCGGATGTCGGTTCTGTTGGTTTTATCCTTAATTTCTGTCAATTATTTTTTATTTCATATTTACTTTTTCCAAGTAGCCAGAATTTTCAGTAACCAACTGTCAACCCATTCAGTTACTTTAGCTTTGTTCCAGAACCATTCTAAAACGGTAATTTCCAGTCGATCAATTCATTTGTCAATTAGGATAAACGTTCAATTCATTGAAAAATAGGTAGCAACTGGCAATTATTGGTTCTGGAACGGATCTCATGTCTGTTGGAACAGAGCTAATGGTTAACGTTTGGTTATATTCGGAGCATAGCTTTATATAAACGTTTTTGGGCGTGGCATCCGGACAATTTTTTCCACCCCCTTCCACCCCACAAATGCCGGTGTATGAGCATCAGCACCCACGAGGTTTTCTAAAACCTGGCGCTCCTGGATCCATGGAGTGTTGACACTTGAAAATCTTATTGGAAAATAAGTAGAAAGAGGTAGACAAGTTCACCTGACCTTTATGGACATAGAAAACCTATGACACGGTGCCACTAATTAAGTTGTGGTCAGCAATGGGATAAACAACTCAAATACTGTGAAAGCTCTGTAAACCAATACATACAGTTCAGTCAAACAAGTTAGGCAACTTTCCGAAAAGTTCCCAATAACAAAATGTCTGAAGCAAGGCTGTTCCCTTGCTCCACTGCTTTTTGAAATTTATGACTGCCCTAACTAAAATGTTGGAAGAGGTTACCAATAGGAGAGTTTTCACTCTCCTTTTTACTGATGACGACCAGGTAATTATAGCTGAAGATAAAGATGACTCGAGTTACATACTGCGAAGAGTCTAACAAAAATACGAAAACTGGGAACTTACAATAACTATAAAGAAAATGGAGTATATGGCAGATGACTTAGATCTAAGACATTGAGTGGTTGAGAACTGTCCTTTGTTCAAATATCTTGGTATTACCGTTTCTTCCAATTTCCAGTGGTAAAACCGCATTAGCTTATCTCGAATAAGGTTGGTTAAGGGGGAAGAGTTATTTCCCAATTAAATCCCTTATTAGCGAGCAACAAAATAACGAGAAGAAATCAACATAGTGTAAACTATAACTACGTATAGGTCAGAAACCTGGAAATTAACAAACTCGAATAACCCCATAACACGGCGTAAACTCAATCGACCCATGAATGGAGAACCATACGAAAATATACAAACCTGTATGATTATGATTATTCAAAAATTGTACATAAGACTGAATTCATACTAACAACAGCCACCAAACCGAATCGTAGACATTCAAGTGTAACGCAGCTTCGTCTTTGGGACCTCTCAAACTCCATACACTAAATTATTCTGAGATTTGGAGCCGGATTCTATGAAAAACGCCACTCATGAATCACCCCAAATTGCTGAACACGATTTTATCTCAGGAACTATAAGTGTAAATGAGCTGACATTTTTAGGGATTGTAGTCCCTTGATTGGGATAAAATTAAATGAAAGTTTCAGCTTTTCTATCTATAATAGAAAAAAAGTTACGACCTTTCAAAGTTTTCCAAAATCTAAATCACCTTCTTACTAAAACGATGAAATTTCAAATTTTTTTTTGGCGAGATTTTGTATCCTAATGGTCAATCAACATACCTCAAACTCCATACACTAAATTATTCTCAGATTTGAAGCCCAAATCTATGAAAAAAGGCACTCAGAAAAATTGAAAAATTGATAAATCACCCCAAATTACTTAACACGATTTTTTTTCTTCTGGAACTATAATTCCTAATGAGCTGAAATTTTCAGGGATTGTAGTCCTCTACTGGGTAAGAATCGCTGAAAATTTCAGCTTTGTATCTCTTATAGAAAAAAAGTTATGATTTTTTGAAGTTTACAAAAAAACTAAATCATTCAGTACTTTTTTTTGTATGTACTGGTGATCAACCTTGTATGATGTTAATGAACTTGGACTGGACATTCCTATTAAAACTGATTTGATTCTGATCAACTAAAATAACTGATATTCAAGATATTAGACAATCTTTTTTTATCTATTTACGTATAAAGTGAAATAAAAAATGGAAATTTGTTAAAGTAGTTATAAAGGCATATTGACCAAATAAATCATCTAAATTTACCTTATACGATTAGCCACAATGAAACTACATATGTCAACTAAGTACCACAAACAATTTTATGCACAGATTCAATAGGTATAGGAACCTACAAACTAAGCACTACTTATACTTTTCTTGTTTGTGTTATAAGACTACCTTGAACAAAATGCGGTTTGGTTAATTAATTATGTTATCAGGTATGACTCAGTTTATAATAATTCAAATGAAACATAAGAGAGTTTTCTCACCCCAAGACTAGACAAACTACTCCTATTATGGTGCATAGAAACCAATCGGTCAATATCGTCTTCGTTGGTGGGCCATTCTTGGCTGGAAACCGAAGCGGCTTTTCTTCTGGATCCTGGAGCCACTGGACTGGGCGTGGCGCTTTTGCTTCCAGATCTGGAAGCCAGCATCGGCGACGAGTGAGCCTCTGATAAACTGACATCGTCTGAAAAGAATATCTGATTTTAGATGTATAATTTCTAAGTAATAAATTGTCAAGGACAAATTGTTAGATGGCTTGCATACATGCTACTGATAATAATAAGAGATAGTAGTAGGCAAATGCCGCATTTATTTCCTAATTGTTTTACTTCACGGAATTTACATCTAGGTTACGGGTAAGTATCGACTTTGTGTGAGAGCCATATCATAAAACAACAATGTCGAGAACCCGACCAACACAATAAAACTATAAAGTTCCCAAGTACTAGTGCCGTGGAGGTTTTCAGTTCTCGAAAATACAAAACAATCACGGACAAGTTTCAAATGTCGACCCGCCTACATCGCAATGAAGGTATGGATTTCTAAAGATCACGAAGTTCGCGTGTTGTACAATCGATTTTGGATTTTGCAGTGGCGGACTAACGGAACATCAATACCTGAATATTGTATTTAAAATACTGAGTTGATTATGGATTAACTTCAATTCTATTTATCGACCTACTATATATATTTTTCCAATAACATACAAAAGATATCAGTGTTCCCATAGGCGCCGGAACCATGGGGGCAATGGGGGCTTGAGCCCCCATAGTGATTTAGGTATTACATGTAGTGGGAAGATAGAAAAATATTGAGTTCCTAACTATTGATTATTATTTCCTTTCCGTTTGTTTTCATAATAGATATGTTTCCATCACATGAATATATCATGATGTACATTACACTGGCTTTTTTACCTAGGCCTACGGAGGGCCCCTATCTGAAAAGCAAAACCCCCTCGGGGCCCCTTAGGGGGCCCCTAAATATATTTTTTTTCTGGCGATTTGAATGAAAATCAGAATATAGATAAAAGGGGTCCAGAAAAAAATGATATTCCAAGTTTCAACCCTCTCCAACCTACCGGAGGGGTTTAAGCCTCTATTCCCCCAATTTTGGAAAAGGGCGTGTAGTGGTGCATACATGCCCTGCATTTAATTTTATGAATTTTCAGAAACAAAAAATATCACCGGATAGAGGAGACAAAAATACGTAGGAAATATTTCTTGGTGTTTTTTGCTCCGACGCTTCGTAAGCCCGGAAAAAAATAAAAAAGATTTTGATTCTGGAAAATTTTGGGGACCCGACACGGCGCCACTGTTTCGCTTATAACTTCGGTACCGCGAATCAGGTTTCCTTCGAATTAGTATCCCAGGCTGTTTTAGTCTCCGAGATATAAGCCGTCAAAGTTCAAATTTCTCTGAAAATGTATTGTAAGTTTTGAAGTCGATTTTTTCAAAAACGGTGCCCCGTGGAAGGGTAACTCTTATAAGCTTTTTTGTAGTTTTCAATGAGATCTACAGGATTGGTATTTGAGGTTTTTCTCTCAGGCTCTGCTTTCCAGCTAGGATGCTTTGAAATATAAAAAAATAAAAATAAAGGCTGTTTTGAATTTTTTTGTAATGACGGTCTAAAGGGGATCCCAAATATCTCCTAAATGGGCTCAGTTTATTTTTTTCTCTTGTTTTTCCCATTTTTTTTTCCAAATATATATGTTTTTGCTTTAATATAATATGATATTATAATAAAAGTAACGTTCTACTATAAATTCTTATCAAAATTTATGAAAATGGCCGCATCTCTGCTTGCCCCCACCTTTAGGAGTCAATAAAAGATCAAAATTTTGTGCCTGCGGCGGAGCTTCAAGGATTTCTCCGTGGAAATTTGCCCCCTCTCCACAAGACAAAATCCTGGCTACTCCAATGGTGCTGCCGGAGTTGAATATTCGAATATAGCCGGGCTGCCGGAAATCCACGAATTTTAATAATATGCAGGGGCCATCAATGATTGAGCGTGGCGATCTTTCAGTGGAATTGTTATCTGTCAACTGGTCCCATTTAAGCCTATGTGTGTAGTGGTCTAGTCCTGTCTGTATAATTAATTCTATTTCTGGTAATTTTTGAAGCCCGAGCCCCCATAGTAATTTTGAAATTCCGGCGCCTATGAGTGTTCCATTAAAAAAACTTCATTCATGGCGTAACTCTTCGGTTTTTGGCTCAATATTCCAATTAACCATTTTGATTTTCTTCCAATATAGGGAAGGTCCAGTGGCGGTCCATACATGATTATCTGGAGGGGATAATGGATGACGGAAAAATCATATGTAAAAAATACCAAAAACTCAAAACGATTGAGGTATTATTATTGGAGTTACGATTTTTTAAAAATAATGATGTTTTGTAAAGTAAGACTTTACCAAGGACGTATATAAGGGGGGGTTTTGGGGGTTCAAACCCCCCCTATTGAACTCAATAAATTATTTTTTTTTAAGAAAAATAAACATTTTGGGCATGGTACCCGAACAAATTTTCACCCTTGGCGATATCCTAAGTTATGCTACGTCAGGTTACCTATGTATACATCGTCTGGTCTAAAATTGAAACCCCTTCCAGCATAGACCACGAACCGCCACTGATCTAAACCCCCCCCCCCATGTAAAAGCTATAGCTACGTCGTTGGACTTTACAAACAATTTTTTCACTCAAAAACTAAAGTGAGTAGAAACTTGAAATTTTGAGGACTTTTTCCTAATGATTCAATGTGAAAAATACTAAAAATTCAAAGCGATTGAGTTATTATTAATGGAGTTACGATTTTCTGAAAATAATGATGTTTTGTAAAGTAAGACTTTACAAACAATTTTTTCACTCAAAAACTGAAGTGAGTGGAAAGTTGAAATTTTGAGGACTTTTTCCTAATGATTCAATGTAAAAAATACTAAAAACTCAAAGCGATAGAGTTATTATTAATGGAGTTACGATTTTTTGAAAATAATGATGTTTTGTAAAGTAAGACTTTACAAACAATTTTTTCACTCAAAAACTAAAGTGAGTAGAAAGTTGAAATTTTGAGGACTTTTTCCTAATGATTCAATGTAAAAAGTACTAAAAATTCAAAGCGATTGAGTTATTATTAATGGAGTTACGATTTTTTGAAAATAATGATGTTTTGTAAAGTAAGACTTTACGAACAATTTTTTCACTCAAAAACGAAAGTGAGTAAAAAGTTGAAATATTAAAAACTCAAAGCGATTGAGTTATTATCAGTGGAGTTACGATAGTTACGAGTAGGTATGTCGGTACTGGCAAACTTTGGTACTGGTGAGCCTATTAATTTATACAATGCCTTTAAAAATGCTTTATTTTGTAGAACTTGTCTCTTATTGAAATTTTCTTGTAATTAATAAATGTATCAAAAAAAAATCTTTGTCTGAGAGGGGTAATTACCCCCTCTACCTCCCTCTTTAAACCACCCTTGGAAAGGTCAAAAATAGGCTGTTCAGTACTCCAGGAAACTCCAAAACGCACTAAGTATATTAATTGAATAACCCCCAAATTTGCTTCTATAATATTATCTTATTATTGTTCTACCTGATAACAACCAAACAACCTAAATATAACTAATTGAAAGTGTTAGTCTTATTCCCACTTTCATGTCGATAATACGTAGAAAAACAAATAAACAATTAAAAAATAATCAAAGACCATTACATGTATCCAATCCAATGTAACCGGTACTGCGACAACAATGCCCAAGCTTTAAAACAAGAAAATAGTACTTTTTTTTTTCAATTACAAGACGACGCCGGTCTGGTACTGGTACCACTCGGATTTCGTAACGTATTAGTAAACCGTAAAAGAACCATTTTTTTTTACCTTTTGGTTGCGTGAGAACTTATGGTACTTAACTGTACTTAGGTACTTGTTTCGTTACGCAAGAGTTGAATTTTCGGTTGAAAAGAAGATACGATTGTTTTGAATAAAATATTACTCAATAATTATTTTGCATTTGAATGAGTGATTCCTTATGAATCATTCATTATTATTATATTTTTAATTCACCTTTTAAAACTCATCAGTTAATTAGAACGTGTAACAAGTTTTTTTTTTTTTAAATAACTGCACCTAATTTCGGTAAGGCGTGTGTGTTAGTAGAGCACGGAAAAGTTATTACGAAAAAGTGGTTTAATTAGGAAATCATCATTTAATTGACTCCATGTATATGAAAAGTAGTATACCTATACTCTTGCAAATTTCATACAGAACAGACAGGAAGTGAACTGCAACAAGTAGGTACTTTACATAACTGTATCTCTTTGTCTGGCCAATTTGAAATTAAACTGTTTCAAAATTGCATAATTTAGAAAAGAAAAGAAGTCAGTGGCAGAGAAGAATTGGTGTAATTAAAAAAATAATACCTAGAAATTATTGCTAATTGGTTCAAACGATATCATTTAATAATTATGTCCCAGCGAAAGCAATTAAAGCTGTTTTTCTCGTTGAGAGTTAAGAGACTTTTTAACCATTAATTGAGAGCAGTTTTAATTTGATATATTTTCGTGGAAGTAGGATATATGAGGTTCCTATAAATTCATTTTAATGAAAAGCGTTTATTCCAATAAATAAATAAATAAATAAATATTTTCGTTTATTTTGCAATATATATTTCAAAACTGAATTTATTTTTGCATTATTATTAATTATCGAAGGTAATTGGGGCAACCTTGGTTTGTTTATCAATATTGCATTAAAATGCAATGACATTGGTTTACATGTCGAGGTGGAAAGTTTTCCATTAAAAAGTAAACTTAATCTCGAAACGGAAATAGAACTTTTCACCGAGGTTTGTAGATTGAAGACATTTTCCAATTTTCGCTACACAAGACTCAATACTTCAAGCAATCAATGGAACTTCAAACTTTCAGGATTTATTAAGTAGCAAATTATTTTCTAATGTTTGAAGTTGCTCTTATTGTCAGAAACTTCCAAAGCAGGGATTTTTAAATTTTTGTTTAGAAACATTGATATTTTATGTAGGTATCTTGGTATAACGAAACCAGCTCCCAACTTTCGCATAGAAACTTGCTCTATCATATTTTCCTAATAAGTACCTTGAATTTTCTCAATAATCCCCCATACTTTATCTGGTTTCAATAAACTTTCTCAAAAAATCTGTTTTCATTCCAAC